CACCACCTTCATCAGAAACTAATGTATCAGACACTCAAAATGATTCTAAAAAGCATAAAACTATTGAAGAAAAAAATAAAATAATAAATATGGATGATCGTTCAAATTTAATGGCAGCGATTCGGAATGCGGGTGGTATAGGAAGAGCAAAATTGAGACATACAGTGCCGTCAGACGAAAAAGGAAATCGTTGGTCTTCTGCATCAGTTGGAGGAGATTTAATGGCCGATCTACATGCTAAACTGGCCCTTAGGAGGAAAGGAATTGCAGGATCAACGGGCAGTGCCTTGGAAAGGATGTCTAGCTTAATTCCACCTCCTCCTAAACCAAATGAAACAACTACATCAGATAGGAACTCAGCTACTAGTGAATATGATTCTCAACCGGATACTGATGACTGGGATGAATAAAGTTCAATATAATATTATCAGTATGTACAATTTTTGTTTCTGTTTCAAGAAGAAAAAATGAGCTTGAGTGGTAATGATATTTCTAAATGTTTTAAATAACTTTTGCTGTTATCTGTTTAATACTTTTTGAGCTTCAGTTTTATGTATATTACTAAGATATATACATACTCTTAATTGTCTGATTCTAATAAGTATATTTTTAAGTATTCAGAAAATTAATTAAGGGAAAAGATTTCTCTTAGAATAATAAATGACAAGTTATTAGAATCCATTCTTTTTCTTCAATTCTATTGCAGATTCGTTTAAATATCAGTTTACATTGTCTTGTTTATTGTAATTTTGCTTTTATACAGATTACATTTTTGACAGTTACAAATCGATTAGATAGTGCAATTAGTATAGTAGTCGGCGCAAGGTAACACCACTATTTAAAAAAAAATAAATACTCAAATGAAATGTAATACTATTTTTTGATACATACATAAAAGTATAACAGAAATTGATTCCTTGTTCTTCTTTGGTAAAGTACATGTAGTATAAATAGATTTGCTTTACAGAGAAAAATCTGTTTTGTTTTTTGATTATATTTATACAAAGATTTAAAATAAATAATTTCTAAATCAAATACTGCTTGTTCACTTTTAAATTCTAGTTTATTAAGGTATCTTGGTATTAATAAATATTAATTCTGATGAAAAAATTAAAAAGAATTTATGACTTCAATCCAAATCTATTAGTTAGCAAGCACTAAAACACTACTCAAAAAATTTCTAATATTAATGGCATCAGTATAAAAAAAAGAAAATAGAGAAACTGTCAATATATCTAATTAACTCAAATATAAAATGATTATCAAATATATAGAAAAAGAGGTTTTTTCCTGTGGTATTTTTTTATTTGAAAAACAACTAAAACAAACTTATCGTATTCTGGCGAGAAATTATCCTGATTTGTCATCAAGTTTTGAAAGTGTCTTTGTAATAGCAGCATGTTTGTGCACTTATCTGTTTTTATTTAACACTTGACCCTAGATTACTGGACCAGCCATCTATACGTTTATAAATCTGAGTTTAAGCCGTGGAATTTATAGTTTTTGTTTGATCATTGATACTTTTTGTTAATTACATTAATATTTTGTAGTTGAAGTGCATCAATTTCGTTGTGGGTTTGCAGTTATTTAAAATAAGTGGAATATTCTATTATCATTAAAAAATGTATCTGTTTGGTTTTTAAGAGCTTGACACTAGGGAATAAATTTGGAAAAGACAAGGAAGCAATCATTTTAAAGAACATGAGAGAAATAAATAAATTTATGATTAGTAGTGACTTACACAGAGGGAAAAAATGAAATACTATTTGTAATTATAACTAAATTATGTTTAATTAATGAAATAAGTTAGTTAACATTTGGTCACTTTATTTTATAACGTTTTGTGCCAACTTTCGTTTGTTTTATTTGTTGCAATTATTCATATATTATAATATTTGGTGACAAATATAATTTTAGTTGTGGAATGTAAATCGTGATGCGAATACTTGTGAAGTGGTTGTTGGGAAAATACTAAGTTGTGAAAATGAATTGATTGATAAATCACAGGAATGTCAAAGTCATATGATAACAATTCAAGAAATTACAGTTTTTCTAGTAATTATAATATTAGAAAATTTCTTACAGCTTAAAACTGTAATAGTGGTTAAAAATAGTGAAAGTAGTAAACTGAAGATTAAAAAAATATTTTTCAAACTAGTTTCAAAATAATTTGAAACTTAGTTTCAAAATAATTGAATAAACAATATGCGTTTTAAAGTCATCCTGTTATTGCATGAAAATTGTCTACTTAGAACTCAAAAAATTTAATCAGAATCCAAATCAAAACATGGGTGCTGACTTTTGTTGCAGCATGATCAAAGTACAAATTAATAATGTGTTATTTCATGATAGTTAATGAGTTTGTATGTCTTTTGGATTTTAATAAGGTATGTTGATTTATACGTGTATCATAAATTACTTATGCTGGAAAGTGTAACAACATGAAAGATCACTGCATAAATTGGAACTTGTGATAGTAATGACATAATATTAATATTTTTTTTATCTGTATTGACTAAATCAGAAGTTAATGATGCACGCTTTTTGCACGTGATGTAGTACCGCATAATAGAAAGGAAATAAACTAAGCAAATCAAAACAAAGATTTTTTATCATGAATTAAGTTTTTTAAACTTCACATAAATTTCTTAATTGATTAACTATTACTTTTTAAATTAATGACAATCTATATAATAAAAAGCTACTTAGATATTCAATTTTTGATATGTTATTTAATTTTCCGTCTGTAGTATGTATGGAAAAAAACCATAAAATGCGATTTAAGTTTTAATCATTTCAATTGTGAAATAAACAAATTATTGAGAAAATGAATGATCGTATTTCAAATTTTCATTAAGAGATTTACTATACTTTCACAAATATAATATAATGTATTATCATAATACATTATAAGATATATGTATAATACCTATAATACGCTTTCTTAAAATGTGTTGTAACAAATTAGAATAATGAAAAATTTGTAAAAAATAAATTGAAAAAGTGAAAATGTATATTCTATTAAAATTATATTTAAAACACGTTTTATATAATTTAATTTATCTCTAATCAACTTTTCCGCAAATAGAGTTTCTGGAACTTTAAGATAAATCATGGGGGGCACCATAAAAGTGGCTACTTCTACGGAATTACCCCGATTTCAAATCAACAACTCAGACCATTTGGAGTTACCGATTGATATGCGTTTTAACGAGGGTCACATTGTTAGTATTTTCATTTATAGCGTGTTAATGATAATATCTGCTGTGGGAAACACAACGGTATTAGTGTTAATTATACGTCGTAGACGTACATCTAAATCAAGAATACACAATATGTTAATGCATCTTGCAATTGCTGACCTACTTGTGAGTAAAATATATATTTACTCCATTGCAGACTTATTAAGTCTGCAATGGCAAAATAATTAACTTTTATATTTTAACATACTAATTTATTAGAGAAAGTTATGATATGTACTCATAGATATGTAAAAATAACTGAAAACAAAGAAATACTTTCCAGGTTACTTTTTTAATGATGCCGCTTGAAATTGGTTGGGCAATTACAGTTTCCTGGAAAGCAGGAGATGCAATGTGTCGAATAATGGCTTTTTTTAGAGTGTTTGGTCTATATTTATCATCCTTTATTCTGGTATGCATAAGCATCGACAGGTCAGAATAATTTTCTTTATTTACAGTGTTCTATTGTTGGTGATTTTTTTAAACACGATTTAATTCAATACTAAAAAATGATGAATAAAATTCAAGTAAATTTATTGTTCATTTTCCAATTTTGTTTTCTAGCTGTAACCGTTTATTTACTCCATCAATTCACAGTCACTTAAAATAATTAATAAAAAAACAACCATAACTTAGTAACAAATCTCAATAAATCATATGTTTATATGAATCTTTCTCAATTTCCAGTATTGAACTTAAATCCTATGTTTGAATAGGTCTACTAGTATTAAAACATTCTAAACTATACATCATAGTGTTCCTGTTAATTAAATGGCACTATATCTAGTGAATTTAATTATTTTATTCTAGATATTATGCTGTGATACATCCTCTTCAATTATGGGATATTGACAAAAGAGGAAAACTTATGCTGTGTCTTGCATGGGGAGGATCCATTGCATGTTCTATGCCTCAGGTACAAATATTTTTTGGAAAAATATTTTAAATAACTATTATAATGTTATTTTTATTATAAATATTTCAACTATGTGAACTATTTTCAACTAATATTTTGAAATGCACTTGTATCAAAATGCAAACAAGTTACTAGACCATAAAGTTATCCAAGACTTAAGTAAGCCTAGTCTGGAACATATATTTTTCTTATTAGTGTATGTTATTTTCAGATGATAGTATTTCATTTGGAAACCCATCCAAATATTACTTGGTACTCTCAGTGTGTCACATTTAATACTTTCCCAACATACACTCATGAAATAACATATTCGTTATTTGGAATGATTATGATGTATTGGTTTCCTCTCATTGTGATAATATACACTTATACAAGCATTTTATTAGAAATATGTAGAAGATCAAAAAAGAGCGAAGGTGGTATGTTAAAACTTATTTTAAATTTAGACGGGAATTCTAACTTTGTCAATTTTATATGTAATTTATTTAACAATTTAATATACAAAATTAATTTAATTTAGATAAGATTCGTCGTTCTTCCATGGGCTTTCTCACTCGAGCAAAAGTACGAACTTTAAAGATGACGGTTATCATTGTTACCGTGTTTTTTATTTGTTGGACACCATATTACGTAATGAGTCTTTGGTAAGCACTATTATTATTTTAATATATCGAATGCTAATATATTACTACATTGAGGCATACATTTTAATACATTCAATTTCATCATGAGTAAAGGCGTTCTCATACTTATTTCGCAATAATTATTGACATAAGATAGTACATTTTTACTAATTTATGCACAGTTCTTAAGTTATGCAGAATTTTTTATATGTCGTATCCAAATTTACATTACAGGTATTGGATTGATCGCCATTCAGCATACAAAGTTGACCAACGAATTCAAAAAGGTCTTTTTCTATTTGCATGTACTAATTCTTGTATGAATCCCATTGTTTATGGAGCATTTAATATTCGAGATCGCAATAAGGTGATTCTTTGTTTCAATTTGTCTAACAAAACAATCGTAACAAATTCATAAATAAATACGACATATTGTTCTAGACATCTGTGAGGCCAGCAACCATAGAAACTCGAGTTACTCCATTGACCTTATCGCTTAAACTACTTGACTGATATTTTTTACGTATAAAGAATGTATACAATAAGTTAAATCTAGTCGTTGGCATCAAATGTAACTGTGATCGACGATCCAATTATTAACATTCTGGTCAGAACAGCATATATACATTGTATTAGAAAGGTCTCTTTACAATGTGATTATCTGTTGATATGTGATTTAAAAACCTCCGTTAGTATATACATATTTACTTGTATCAATGATATAAGTATGTAAATATACACTGGAAGAAATCTTTTTAACACTTTGCTAAGAGAAAGTAGAATTATAATTGAATTTATTAGAATGTATTATATTTAAAACTACATTAAATTATTAAATATTAATAAAAACCATTTAGTTATTACTGTTATAAAAACCCAATAGAAATCTATTGAATTTCAAAACTGTTACATCAGAATAATAATGAAATTATTTTCTTACGATAGAAAGCATCACTTAAATGAGAAAGAACATAGGTTTGTAATATGAAGTAATATAAACAGGTGAAACTTCGTAACATAATAAAATATATAAAACTCACAAGACAGTTAAAAAATATTAAATTATTACAAATTATTATATTTTCTTCAATTTATTAATACATTATTTTTGTAAAAAAACATTTATTGCTTTTTTTATATATTATACTAAGTAAATTTTCGCCTGAAAGTATATTTTAAAAAATTAAAAAGATTACAAATCTACATCAGTAGCATGCTCTTTTTAAGAAGAATCAGTCAAAAATAGAAGCGTACATTCTTACGTTTTGTGAATAATATGAGCTAAATGTATTCTAAAATGAAACATGTACATTCCAAATAACTGTCTTATGGAATAATAGTCTCCTTCTCTTATTTTGAGCATATGTAAAGCATATTGGTTTAAGAAAAAATTAATCTAAAAGCTTTAAAAAGAGTAAAATTGATGGATAGCTTTATTAATCACAAGAAAAAATTGTGTAAAGGAATCTCAAACATAATTTCACTAGTTACTGAATTATTGCACTCAATTAACACAGATTTTCTCAGAATTATATAAAAAGAACTTGTTAAATACAGTAAAAATGGTAATTGTGTATAAATAGAAGTATGAGTTTAAACAATATCAATATAAAAATCAAATATACAGTAGTAAATTTTGTGCCAATGCTGTTAAAATTATACAGCACTAATGTCTTGTAATTAATATCTCGTAATTAATGAATTTGGTAAGAATTGTACTAAGATTTCTGTATCTTTGTAAGTGTTTTAAACGTTTACGATAAAAAAAGTAAGAAATTATATATCTTAACCATAGTTTGTTGTATAAAGGAAAATTGTTAATGCATAACTAGTTTTGCCAAGTCTTTAAGTAGGCCTTAATCGCTTTAAATGCAAAGAGCACCGGTACTTACGCTTCTTCACCACTCTGGACGAATTTGATGGAAAGACCACTGCTGATACGTATTATTAATATCGCATGGCATTAATGACAACTGCTGTGTCTGAGGATGAAGTGCCATACACTTCTTGTGCACTCTATGCAGAAGCGTTTTCGTTTTCTAAAGAAGGAACAGAATTTAAAAGAAAAAAGAAAAAAATAATAAAAAGATGTGTTTGTTACATAGTAAAAACATATTTGTTATATATTTATTAAAACTTACTTCATCGTACTGCCACGGGCCATCCACAGTCCCTAATCGGCAAAATACAAATTTCACTCCTTGGCTATCAGCCGATATACATCGTTCTCCAACACCTAATTGACCTTTTGCGTTTAATCTAATTAGCTAAAAGATATCACATGGAAATTAGGAATAAATAAGTAAATTATTTTGTATACAGTAATTGTAAAAATTACCTGATTATTACCAAATCCATGACAATGTGATGTTGCCATTAAACTAGGAGGAGAATGACTCATTGTATCTAAACATGTTCCCGTTGCCACGTTGCGTAACTATAATTTACAAAAAAAGAAGTAGTTTTAAATATAGAAATAAACAAAGTATTGTTAATACATAATATATAACATATTCACAACATAGATATTATAATTATTACCTCTCCCCAATGGATGTTAGGTGGTAATTCAGGAAATTTATCAAATACATCATAAGCCACATTTTCCATGTACCACTGAAAACTTTTACACCTTTTTCGCTTCTTAAAAGCCAGTTGTTCTGATATATCACCATGATCAAGTAACTGTGCTAATGGTTCTCTTGTATAAAAGAATTCCTTATATTTATCATCAAACCAGGTCTCAATAACTCTTTTATAGTTCTGTAAACAAGTAAATAATTTTCATAATTTTTAGTAAATAAATATTAAATTATTTAACTAAACCTACTAAAATTTAATTTTTTTAAATTACTTTTTTCTGATGCTATAATAAAAAACCATTATCAGGTATAAGAACAATTTTTAGTTTATCTTATCTCGATTGCGAATTTGTTTGGTATATCATAATTATTTAAAAGCGAAGGTTTTACTTACTATGGTTATTAATGGACCTTTTTTCTTCTGTGCTAATTTACCAAAATTATAAGGCATAAATCCTCTATATACATGACCAACATGCGAGCATGGTACCCAAAGAATACTTCCTCCACATTGCCATATTTTAAATGATAATTCAAAATTTTCTCCACCCCATACAAGTAAACCTTCATCATATCCACCCAATGATAAAAAGTATTCCCGATTTATTGCAAATAAACCACCAGCATGAGTAGGAGACCTAAACGTAATTTTGCCTAATATATAATTGTCAAATGATTTTTATATAATTGTCTAAGAATTACTTGTATGGCATGCTGTTGTAAGGTCGCGTTTTTTGTTCCCGTGCAGGAAGCTCATTTTCCTTATATAACATTCCCCATTCAAAAATACCTCTATATAAGTGTCCTTCTTGATATACAGGTCGATATTCGAAAGTTTTGTGATCAATTCCATCTATGATGGGAACTGTCATTACAGTTCTGAAAATATTTAAAATGGAAAAAATAAAAAAATCTTTTTCTTGTAATATACATCATTCATAATAATACATTGAACTGAATTAACAAAACATTACCTATCAACAGCGATTGGAGCTAATAAAGGTGGTAACCAATTAACATTGACTTCACAATGTGCATCCAAAAATACTATAACTTCTCCCTTAGCTTCACGTGCACCACGTGATCTAGTCCTTATTAAACCTTCTCTTTCATAATTCCTAATCAATTTAACTTTTCCTTCCCACTGTTCAATATAGGATTCTAATTCTCCTTTTAAATTATCTGCATACAAATATTTTAATAATTTTTAGATTATTAATAAGTTTTTTTATAACAATTTGTTTTTCTCATATTATATAATATTAACACTAGAACGACATTAAATGCTCGTTTATCGAAGAATGAAAAATAAAATGAAAAAAGAAATAAATAAGTACTAAAGCATCAAGTAACATATAGAACTAATTTTTACCTCAACAAAATATGACAGACATTTCCATAAAATCACGACAACAAAATTTTGTAATATAAAATGAGAAATCTGAAGCCAGTCATTTTGACTGGTTGGTAGTTCTAGTGTTAAGTATCTAACATATAAATATATTTATATAGTACATTTACCTTTATCAGAATAATCATCTACTAGCAAAATTTCCTCTAAAAATTGTGGAGGAGTACGATTTATGACGCTATGAACAGTTCTCATTAATACTGACCAACCTTCATTGTGAAATACTATGATTACACTAGTTCGAGGAAGTACCTCTGGATAATTCCAGTGTTTGCATCTATAAATTATATAAATAAATTTTGGATTAATTTAGTATGTATGATATATCAATAAGATAATATTGTTCAAGATATGCATTTTATATACAGTACGAACTGTGTAAACAGTTACACGGTTTTTTCCTGAGAACTAGTAGAGATTTTTTGCTTAACTATACTTCTTTTAGTAGAGCAATATACATATTTTTACATTTTTAAATAATTAATGAAAAATAAAATAAACATTTGTTCAGAGCATCTTTTTTATCTAATAGAGAAAAATATGTTTAATGCATAGTGCAGAAACAAAATAAAAATGAAAAACGAAGTTAGAATTCAAAACTAAAATAATATTCCTAAGATTTCAAAAGAAGAAGAGAATCACAGCATTGTTAACTTACTCAGTCATTCTTGTGTCAGGAACTGATCTGTCTAATGAAATTTCATCAGAGCATACCATGTTCATACCATACTCTGACTCTGATTGCTGAACATCATTTTGTTGATCATCCCTAAGAATATGAGGTTTACCTCCTTCTCCTGGCCCTGTTCTAATCGGTACATGCTGTAGTTCAAAATTACCAAGATCTTTTACTAATACTGGAACCTGCAAAAACATTTATTACAATATAAACAAAATTTATTTTTAATTTGATCATGATTGCTATACTTTTTTATTTATACTTGTATTCATATTTGTTTCTTTTCTCTTACTTTTTATTTCAGATAGATGAATTCAGATTAAATCAGATTTAAAAATAAACTAAATAAATTCAGATTTAATTTAGATTAATTGTTATTAAACATATCATATAAAAATCGCTTTACAGAAATAAGTAACATATATATAATATTTTATTAAGTAAATTTACTTATTTTATTGTTTCATTTACCTGTTTACTTTTTAGACTTTCTGCCCAATATTCTTTTAAGTTACTGATGGGCTTTTCAGTAAAAAAATTTATAATAAGATATAACGAAAAAAGAACAAGTATACATCTGAGAATAATATTAAAAAGACGATTCCTCTTTAGCTGCACAATTCTCATTTTGTTTGAGGTAACTATATCTGTAATTAACAATTCATTAATATACATTCTTTATTTATTTATTTAAGGTTTATTTAGTACATTGAAGATATTACACTTTAAGGTAATAAACAAAACTTTTTTTGTTTTGTTTATAAAGAAAAGATTCATACATTTAAATAATGGCAATAACTAAGTGGAATAGAAAAATTACATTTACATTAACAAAATAAGTTATATTAATTTAGTATTTTCTATATTTAGAACGTAGAATTGATTGGCATGACTTGATAACATAAAAAAACCATAAAATAACACTTGCTTTGTATCAATTTAAGGTTTAAAACTTGATAAAAATAACCATAGAGATGTTTTGTTGCAAATGTTTTTAATATGAATTGATTGGTTGTCATAAACTCAACTTATGAATTACTGTGTACAATACTCCATAAGATGATTATCTAAGAAACAACAGTTTTATATCTACAACATTAATAACTGCTTTCAACTGACACATTTATGAAAATTTATGTTTCAAGTTAATAGAATAAATGTTACTTTATAATACTTTTATGTCATGAAATTATATCAGACTATTGCTATTATAAAAATAATAATTATTTGCTGCAACTGTCAACCAGATCATTTTTATTGTAAACATTAATGAATGATTTATATAGTCATTTTCAACACATTTTATGTTTCAAATTCACAAAGAATAAATATTATTTTACAGTTGCTATGTAACATCAAATCTTGTCGAATTATAAATCTCTTGAACACCAAAAAATATTAAATTATTATAATTTTATCCTCTACTATACCTGAAAATGTAATATAAATATGTATTCAAATATTTCCAATATTTATAAAAATGTATTAAATAATATTAACAATGATATAATAAATTACGACAATCTTTATACTTTCATAACTCTTTAAACATTTAAAATATTAATTAAAATATTGTAATCAACAAAATAATAGAATGTTAATACAACAAGCAAATATATTAAAATATAATTTACCTTAAATAAAAACGCATAAAACTTGCAAAACAAAATAAATTTGACTACATTAATTGTTCAAATGTATTAGAAGAATATTAAAAATTATATTATAATAAACTCAATCATTATTTAAAAAACCTGAAGCTATGTTGCTTCGCGCAATAGCCAACGTGTCTTGCGTGCTTTTGTAGCTATATTATATGATTATGTGTACAATATATACTTCTGTAAATACATGAACGAACATGGTAGGCTAATCTAGGAAAATAGCGACGTAATAAAAAATATCCCCATCGTTTGATACTTCTGGTTGGTAAGATTTCAAATGTAGTTACTTCAGTTTCTCGTGGAACAAAGTATGTATATAACATTTTTTACATAAAATATATTTATGAAAACTTAGGAATACAAATTTACTGTAAAGCATGATATTTTTATATTATTTAACATCATAAAAGGATAGCATCAGTAGTGGTTTACTTTACATAAATCACTTTTGTTTCTTAGAATCTATTTTGCATTTAAATTTCGCGGGTAAGACGAACGTGTGAAGATAGTTGCCCTTGTGTTTGAAACACTGTTGCCATTTTATCCCGTTGCCTATTTCAGGGTTCGAACGTACCTAGATGGCTCTTTAATTTACGACCCAGTAAGAGAACATACTCGTTTCGCGTAACGCGGCTAACTTTAGTAGGCTCGTTTTCATCTAGATTTGTTTCACTGTGATGCACTTTTGACTCGGACAGTCATATACTTGGTGAACAAAAATTTGTGAATAGTAGTGAGTAGTTCTACTTTGTAACAAAGTAGAAAATGTAAATTTCTATTCTAAATACAATCAGATATAAAATTGATGAGCTAAAGCATGGTATTCTTTTAGAAGCTAATGGCATTCTGATCGACCGCTTGGATAGATATAATACATTTGTGGGAATTAATAATTAGAAAATAAAAGATCACTATATATATGCTTCGTATCATGAATATTGCAAATGCGCATGCGGGTTGTTCTTGGTGATAAGTATATTCGACCAATCAGAGTCGATATATGGAGAACGAACGAAAATTGGTGGATTGACGAGTACGTTCTCTCAATGAACGTCATTATAGTAATTTTAATTATTTTAGATGGCGCTAGGAACCAAAAATTATTTTTTGTAGTAATGCACTAACTCTATTTTACTTGCATGTATATACATACATTATATGTATATGCTACTTGTGTTTTGCTAGATGTGGATTTTGTTTATACAGTTTAACCGTTTATGTTTAGACATTTTAATTTCTTTATATCTTACTGCAAAGTGATCTAAGAAAGTTATACGATGTATTGCGTACATAACCATATACCGATAATGTATTAAATATTTCGTATTAAGTTAAACAGTATATTTAACATTGAAAGTAAATTGTATAAGTTTTTATCGCTATGTGTTATATAGCAAAATGTATTTCATTATATATATCAATATTTACTTACTAAATTGAATAAATATCAGCAAATATGTACATAAAACAAAGTATCATCAAGATATTAAAAGATTAAATTGAATATTACAAACCACTTATAACATCAGAATTATTGAAAATACCAACACTTTTGTACTATATATTAAATATATAATATGTAATACATTGTTAGTTATACATTCTTAAGTAGAAGCTTAATTAAATACTAAAGACTTACTAAAAAATTATATAAAACATTTGAATACATTAAATTTTTCTCTATTCAAATTTTTGCATATATTATGAAAATGTAATTTGTAGAATTTTGCTTCTAGACTCAGATTAATTTTAGTATAACATTCCATTACATACAAAAGAAGTATGTAATACTGTGAATTTTAATAAAACAATAAATATATTGCTACAGTAATATTAAAATCAAAGAAATATAGAGCTTAAAAGAGAATGTTTATTTAAAATTTAAGATATACATAAACAGTACATTAATTTTAAATTTTAAATATTTTTAATCAAGTGTTCAGAATATATCTTAATATTTTTACAAACTTTCTATTAATTTAACCTTAGAAGGAGAAGATTAAAAAATTAACAAATTTCAATTTGTCTGCATACATTTATTTTATAAAAGAAGATGATAAGGTCATTTTTTAAATATTGCTTTAATAATTAATGTGTAAACATAAAAATGGCTTCTTCTGAAATTGATGATTTACTGTCTGGACCATTGGTAACTTGGGTAAGTTTTTCGAAATTCTAAATTACAGTTCTCAGATTTCCAATTTAAGATAGCTTCTAGTAATTTTTTGTACATATATATGAAATGAAATTATTTTGTCTACTAATAAAGATATATTTAAAATTCTTTTCATAATAGTTTACCAGTTGCCTTGAGGATCCTAATTTGTTAACAAGTTATGATGATTTGGTAGATGGCATATTATTGCATAATGTGTTTTTACAAATGTAAGTACTTGAATGCGCATAAAACTTTTGTTAATACATATAAAGGATATAATATTTAGCTATATTTTAAATTGTACTCATATAGAGATCCAGAACCTCTATGCGATGAAATAATACCTCCAGAAGGAAGTGCATTAATCCGCACAAAGAATTTAAGAGCTGTGGTAGATAACATGAAACAGTTTTACGAAGAAGAATTAGGTCATTTAGTTCTAAGGTTACCAGATACCATGAATTTAGGCAAAGAACCAGAACATTATGTTGCAGAAATGAAATTATTATTACTGTTACTCCTTGGTTGTGCTGTACAGTGTCCTAATAAAGAAAAATTTATTACAAATATTAAAATATTGAATGTAGACACACAGCTTGCAATAGTGGAATGTATTAAACAAGTATGTTTTCTAATCCATTTAGTTCATATTATTTAATAATTAGTTATAGTAAGTCATAACTAACTGTATCCTGTTAACAGGTCACAGATAATCAGGATATAGTTATTACTCAAGATGCAATGGAAAATGTAAATATGGGTTGTTTATTTGTGCAACTAAAAAGATTGACTCAAGAATTGGATTTATTTCGTCAGGTATGTTTTATGTAATTAATGCAATTATTAAAATAAGCATCATACTAATAAATCATGCAAAATATTTTTGGGCAAATAGAAATGGAGAAATACTGTTATAAATGAAAATGTTGAAAGAAATGATTCGTCCATTAGTGGAGAAGCTGAAGAAATAAATAAGGCACAACAATCTAATCTTATTATTAAATCAGAGCATGAAGAGAATCATCATTATGCTGTTGAATTGGCTGATTGGAAATCAAGAGTTAGAAAACAACGTCAGGAATTGTATGTAGTATAATTAATAATGTAATAATTCTTGTGTTAGTTTATCTTTCTATTCTGTAAATTGTTGTTTATAGAGAAGAAAAAACTGAAGCTCTATTAGAGTGTAAAGAAGAACTTGAATATCATAAAATGTTAGTAACTAAATTAAAACAAGAGGTAAGATACATTTCATAAAATTTGATATTTGAAATAAACAAGAATCAGTGTAAATATAAATTTTTATGAAATATCTAGGTCAATTTTAATATTTAATTTGCTTTAGAATCAAGATTTGATGCATGAAGCACGCACAGCAAAATCTTATAGAGATGAATTAGATGCGGTAATTGAAAGAGCTGATCGCGCTGATCGATTAGAATTAGAAGTAGTAAGATACCGGGAAAAACTTACGGACATTGAATTTTATAAAACTCGTATAGAAGAATTACGTGAAGATAACAGGTATTTTGCATAATAGATGTATTTTCCCTTATAAAGTATAATTCAATTATATTCTCTTTGTGTAAAACATAATTGTTTTTATTCTAGAGTTTTAATGGAGACCAGAGAAATGCTTGAAGATCAATTGAATTCATCGCGAAGAAGAGCAGACAAAGTGTTAGAGCTTGAATCTGAAATTATTAAATACAAACAGTTATTGAACGACATGGCGTTGGTACGTATATACATATTGGAATTGATATTTCTTGATCACGTTTTATTTTCTTCCTATAATTTTTTCAGGAACGCGCAGCTGATAAAGAGAAGTACCAAGAATTGGTCGAAGAAAATACACAATTGCAGAAATTAACAAAAGCTGCTGCGAATGAAGCTGCTTTAGCCGATTCTATAAGCGATTCTGAAGAACCTGGTAATAAATTATTATTTTTAATATAAAATAATTATATTTACTTGTTCAACATATATCAATTTAATGTATGTTAATGAATTTTACTTAGCACACGCTGATAATAGATTATCTGAACAGTTGACAAATAATGCACAAACAAGAGCACTAAAATTAGAATTAGAAAACCGCCGACTAGTCACTTTAATAGATTCTTTAAAAGAAAATTCATTTCACGAGACTTCGTCTCGCGTATTAGAATTAGAAAAGGAAAAGAAAAAACTGTCGTTAAAAATTGAATCATTAAATGACAATATCGAACGATTAACGCAACAAAATTCAGATCTGGAACTAGTATGGAAACAAGCTTTAGAGGAGAATAAGAAACTACATAACTCGTTAAAAAATCAAAAAACGTCGTCTGAGAAACAGCAACAAGAATTTCAAGTATATTATACAAATTTAATTAATGTTGATATTTTGTTTGAACAAGGAGTAGTTATTTTTTTATCTGTGTATTCATTTTTAGGTTCAGCATACAAAAATGGTAGAATTAGAAAAAAATTATGATACGGCAGTGAAAGAAAAACAACGAGTACAAACTCTGTTGGAAAGTGTACAAAGACGTGCAGATGATTTAGAACGTAATTTAGAAGTTGCAAATCAAAAAGTTGAAGAATTAAAAATTCTTGAAACAAATATACAAGAAATTAATTCCAAGTGTCATGATCTCGAATCAAAGCTTGTAGCGACTGAAAAGGAAAAAGACATAGCGCAACGCGATATACATCGTTATCGCGAAACAATTGAAGTATAAATTTTACGAAATGCATTTATTGAGATTACTAATTGTTTTCAAATGTAGAACACTTCTAACAATTTAAATAAATTTCAGGAAAAAGATGTTGCATTAGATAAAGCAGCAAATAGTATTGAAGTTTTAGAAAGGAAAGTAAAACAACTTGAAGAGGAACTTCACGATTCTGTTACACAGATTTCAAGGTATAAAATATTTACTTGTATTTATTATACACAATTTTGTTATAAAATTACTTGTTTCGACAGGTTGCAAGAAATTGAACGGTCTAGTAAGGAACTCGATTCACGAGCCGCTATTGATAGAGAAACATTGGAAATTTTACAGTCTAATTTAGTAGCTGAAAAATTGAGTACTCAACAATTGTACACAGTTTTAGAAAAGCTTGGGCTTAGTGATAACATGTTGTTATCACTTTCATTGGACGATATCCTTAAAAAGTAATATTATTTTTAACTTTTACTTAAACTTGTATTTAAAGTTTGATTCTATGTATCAATAATGGTTAAAGATATGAAGAGATTAATCGATTAATGTATAATGTTCAATAATTATAGAATCGCAGAAATTCCAGAGGTGGTTAATTATGTAAAAGAATCAAACGATTCTTGTTGCGACAAATCAGTACCTGAGTCTGTGAACTTTGAAAACAGTGAAACTACTAATATTCATAGCACTTTGGAAGCAACGGTAGAATCACTCAAGGTATTTTATAATTTAAAGAAGTAACAATACAGTGTGTTAAAAATTGTTTCTAGTAAAGCATAGAACACAATATACTACAATTATTTTACTTTTAGAGGGAGCAAGAACATTTACAAATGAAATTAGTTACTGCACAAACAGCATCAGAAAATCTGTTATCTGAAAATGCAAAACTTCAAGTGCAAATAACAACATTACAATCTCAAAATAACTCCTTGACAGCACAACATACGGCCTTGCAACTTGCCAATTCCCAGCTTGTTGCTGAGAAAGAAGAGGTGCGCATTTATGATGTCGATTTTTTTGTGTGTGAATATTTTTAGAAGTAAAATTTACAAATACATTCACAAATGTTGCAAGTATTTCATAACTAATTTAATTTTTAATAAATTTAAAATTGTAGTTACTAAAACAACGTAGCACACAACAACAGGCACATATAAAACTTGTTCATGATCAAGTCACTTTACAATCTTTACATGAACAATTGAATAATGAGTATGAAAATTTATTCCATGAACATGATACTCTAAAATCAAATCTGCGAGATGTAAAAAATGAAATTAGAATGTTACGTGAATCTTACGAAGGATTAAAAGAAAAGAATAAATTATTGCAAACTGAAAAGGAATCATTGGTGAAAGACGCGAATAGTTTAAATAATTTACGAGGAGAACATTCGAAATTAAAGGTATTATACACGTATATATATAAAATATATCATTATTATTTTGCTACGAGGCGAATTTATATTGATTCTAATTTTAATAACTTTAGGATGACTTCAGAAATTTATATACTGCTACAGAAAAGTTAAAAATGGAATATAGAAATTTGCAAGAAGATTATAGAAAAAATAAAATTGAAACTAATCGAGTAAGCCTTAAACTAACAGAGATGCAAGGTGAACTTAGCAGTAGAGACGAGAGATGTTCGAATTTAGAACTTCAAGTGAATAAACTAAATCAACGTTGCGAAGTATGAATAAATTTTTATTTAATAATGTATTAGTATATATTTTATATAACTTTAATGTTTACTCACGCTATTTTTGTTGTAGGTGTTATTGCATATGAATTCCGGTTTAGATAATGATAGAAGATCATTAATGGATCACATTAGTTTATTATTTAGTCAGTATCATGAACTTTTGACTCATTCCTTGGAAGATAAAGAGCATTATCATATGGAAGAAAAAATGTATACGTTAGTATTCTTAAAATTTATCAGTAATAAGTTATTTTAATATTTCATAAATCAAAATAACGCTTTTAGATTAAAATGTGTTCAACTTTATTTCAAGTATATTTTAGTTGTTCTTTTGTTTTTTTTCGTATTAATTAAAGCATTGTTTATTTGAATTAATGTATTACCTAATATTAATAATAATTTTGATTGCAGAGATACAGTGAATTATTTATACAGACAAAAAGAAAAATTAGAAGATAAGATCATGGAGCATTACAAAAAGTTGGAAAGTTGTACTGCAAAAAAGTAAATTATATATTGACTTATAAGCATGATTTAATATGTATATTCTTAAAATATGTGTTTTCGTACTAATTTTTTATTTTCTTTGTTATCTTCTAAAGGAAAGGATTTGGATCCAATTTGGTACGAAGAGTTCGGAAAGCTTCAGAATTTCTTAATAAGGTAAACACATTGATGTACATATAGATTGAATAAAATACATTTTATATATTTTGTACTTAAATTTGTAAATTAGAATCGACGATCTTGGGCAGAAGATTCCAAACATTCAGAAGGAAAAATATATGAATCAGAATCTGGAGGAAATGACTCGGATGCTAGTACAGAAGATCATCGATTAGCAGGTAAAGACTTGCCTAAAATATCTTATTGTTATATTTATCAATAAAAGGTGAAGTTCAATAACACAATATATTTTATTTATTAAAGGATCCACTAGGGGTCTTGGATCTGATGCATTGTCTCTTGGTCATCCAGGAACTAGAAGGACAGTATATTATACTGATGATTCTCCACCCCCATCAGCTAATTTACCAGTATGAATTTTTTAGTTATATGTTATTTATTATTTAAATATATTTTGTGTCTTTTTATATATTATGTAATCTTCTATCTTTTGTGTATATGTATACATAAAAGTAGGAGAAAGATTATGTACGTATATGTATAACGAAACAGTGAATTGTTATAGGAACAAGGAGATGATAGACGTTCAATTCTTTTGGAACAAACACCACGACCAGAAGTACAAGTAGAACCTCGACCAGTTTTGATATATAACAAAGTATCAGCAGTTATAAACGAATCAAAAAATCTTAATAATAGCGATATGAAAGATGTAGGGCAAGAAGAAATTGTGGAAACTCCGGTCGATAAAGATACAAAAGCAGGCAATCCAGTGTGGTACGAGTACGGTTGTGTATGATTTTATATTCATTGCATTTATTGTGTGCTTATCACAAAATTTGCGCTTTTTACTGTGTATTACAATAATGTAACTCTACTTTTTAATCATTTAATTTAACGAATGTTTTTTACAATTCGTACGATAATTGAATGTTTCAAAAGACTTTATATGATAGTAATTGTAATTGAGCATTTACGAGTTCCTAGAAAACTTTTATGGCAGCAGTGAATATTGCCAATTTATTTTCAAATGCAGTATTTATTTTACACTTGATATTTTTAATATATCATTTATTAACGTGTTTTCATACAAATTTATACATTTGTTCCGATTTATTGTATTTATAAATAGTTAAATAATTTATAAATAATTAACTGTACATCAGGATATATGTAATAATACGAGATACGCATTTTCTTTTGAAAATAGCGTAACGATGTGTGTACAGTGCTAATTACGTGACATAAATATTCAACGAATATTGCCAATATTTAACTCGTTTGTTATGCTGAACCGTTAAACTAAATTATATTTAGACTTTTGCCGCTTTTATTAGAAGTATAAAATAACAATAATTATATAAAACAATGTGTTCTTTTTAATTATATGAAATTCCAATATATTTTTTTAAATATTGTAAATAATAATCGATAAATTTTCAGTAAATGAAAAACTTATACCATTAACTGAGTTATTTGTAATATTATTTTCTTAACGAAAACTTTTAATTATTATTATTTGATATTTATTGTAATTTTTGTTAGGTTCAATTCGTGTGAGTTCTAAAGTAATTTAGAAATTATTGGCAATCAATTCTACGCTGTATTTTGACAGTCTAAGATTCAGGGTCTCACGCGTTCTAGTACTAAGAGAATACACACCTCATAGTTTTTTATTTTCCTACGGTCGGGAGCAGGAAGTCGTGACCGAAAAAAAATGACCACTGTCTGCTTAAACCCTTTCTGAACGATTTCTCAGTCTTTAGAAATTTGCATACGACGCATATCCGTAGAATTACATCGCTACTTTGGGGTCAGATGTTAACATTTTTTTTCTGCTTACATTGTTATAAATACAATAGAATATTCAACGTAGGGGCGCATATTTAATTTGAACTTATAGATACAATCCGACAGTGTATATCTTCGTTTTTACTTAATAAGGAATTTGTTAAATTTAAGTAAAAATTATTTGATTATTAAATACTTCACAAAATATACAATACACGTACCAATCTTTTTTCAAAATAAACTTTAACAATCTTATCCACCCCGTCTTTTCTAACTTACCCTTCGACGAGTATGTCGACGACGAGAATGAAACAAAAAATTTCGCTCACAGCAGCGATTGGCTAGCAAAACCTTCGTCTCCAGCCCGCTTTTTCCATTTACGAGAATAACAATCTTTCTCTCTATTTCTACTGGCGCAGAAAAGGTAGACCAATGGAGTGGGAATGTCAGGGGGTAGTGGTAATAGTAGTGGGCGAATGAGTGCAAAAATAAGACTGACAGAAGCAAGGGTAGCAGACTAAAGTAGGAAAGAACTAGGATGCCATTGAACGGTTAAAAAACTAGGAATCGTTTAACACAATGGCGGGAAATGATAATAACAAAAGAATAAATTTTAAATATAATTCATCTTTCAGACATTTAATTGTATGTACTTACAAATCAGTGTTATTTTTGTGTACTACATTTTGTATTTCATCGTTAACAATTATGTTTCATTACGTAATATTAATTGGTTTTTGTATTCCGATTTATGATTATTTTGTTACTCGACACTGTGTATTGTAACGAGGGCCTCAGACAGCCAATATGTGTATACATTACCACTAACTATATGTCCCAAATTTTCAAATTCCCAAATTCTCATATTTCAAAATCTATAAATTTCTAACTCTCTAAATTTATAAATTACTAAATGTACACTCAATATAGATACATTGTCAATAAACGTTGACAAAAATGTTTGACGTTTCGATGATAGTAAAACGACACCAAAAAGGTTAACAAAAAATTTAAGTTAATTTTATTTATTATATTTGTTTATTTATGAAATTATTTTTACTTTGCTTGATTGCGTAATTTGATTAATAAACAAAATCGGTAATATGATTATGATTGAAATGAGATTCGAAATTTGCAAATGAAAAGTTTAATAGTAACCTATAAAAATGCTGACTGCTAGCGAATAAATGGTTGGATAAAGGGGTGGTATGTTCCTAGGGGCTACATAAAATGAGGGAAGGAAAATGGCTTTTTAGGGGACGTCTTCTTTCTATCTTTGTTGCTACCACCCATTCTCTGAAATGGTGAAGTTCAAAAGGATAGTGGAGGGATAGTTTTTACACCGGCATGATGGACTAAGGAGGGGCATTCACCCGTATGTTCTACATACACAGTTACTTATAAAGAGAAAATGATTAAAGTATCTCATAAATTTTTAAAATTGTTACTGAATTGTTAAATGAACATTTTAATAATGATACACAGTAGTGGTTTTACCATTAAGGGATACAGTTCCAATGGAAGTTCTTGATTTATAATGATTGTATTAGATTTGTACATTTATGTAAAAATTAGTATTTTCTTGTTCATAATACAATCCATATACATATAGAGTAACATTATATGCATATACACTTTAATTTCATTGTTACAGTCCCACCACTATAAATTCTTAAAAAAGTAGATGGTGATAAGTTAAATTTTCTTTTACATTTTCTTATAGTTTTTAAATGCTTCTTATGAATGTGAATTCTTAAACTTATAACGTTGAAATTTCTTAAACAAATCATTTAGATAAATGAGGTGTTAAATGTTACGATAGTGCATGATTTGTACAATTGTAAAGACAATAATCATAACTTACTATTTATTGTGATGTGAAGAATACAAGAACGCAGGATTTACGTACTGTGGTTAACGCGGTAATGCCTATCGTTACTCGTCAGCTTAAAGAGTGGGGGAATTGCACAGGAAAGTGGGGATAACCGCACGTGAATGTTGAAATGGTGGGAGAAGCATTGCACGTTGCGTGTTCGAATGGAGGGGGCACTGTAACAGACACAGTGGAATCACTTGATGGTCGGCAATGTATACCGCGTTATCGTTCCAAGTGTCTCGCTGCTACTTTTTAAAGTGTTAGCACAATTTTTCTTACTTTTTCATTTAATAATCACATTATTTCAAATATATAAATATAAATATAAATATACATTCGTTCGAAATATTCCTATCGTGAAAGGGACGATCGATGGTTCTAGACAAAAATATAAAATAGATCTAACTAAATAAATAAAAAGTTACAATAACATTCAATACTTTTTTCTTGCAAGATCGAAGTAAATTTACAAGGTTTATATTTGTATTATCATGATTTTGAGTGTCGTCTGTAACACGTGTTCACGAGAACATGAGTCTCTCGTCGTTAACAGTTCGCACATTTGAATCTTATTTTACACTAAAAATATTTCTTTTGTCGTGGTCATTGATCTTTCCGTTTACACTTCCGTTGTTATTAATCGTGACTCGATTTATCATGACCATTGGCCGATAACGCTTAAGTATCACCATTTAATTATTACAAACGATTTGTAATCATTGCACGGTCAGTGTTAACCACAGATCGAACGATTTGCATCCGTATCATCGAAAGAAATGTATGGGACCGATCGAATGTATATCGTGTTATAAATGCATAAATCTTTCGATGCGTTGGAATGCGATAAACATTGTTGTTCGAGTGTTGTGAGTGGACACTGGGAGGTAACACCTCGGTGTCGTCCTCCCTCGAGAAAAGAACGAAGAGTGGTACTACCTTTCGAAGATGGAGAGTCGTGTTCTCGGTGGGCCCACAGCAGAAGAGACAGCAGTGGCGGTAACTACAACGTGCAACATCGGGACACCCTCTCCAGTACCAACGACACCAATAAACGCAGTTCCTGGTGTTGGTGGTGCTAGTGCTCTGACTTCGACCACTTGTACTATTCAGAATCCCGTGGTTGTTGTAGCAAGCCCACCGACTAAACACCAACAATCCGCTACTGTACTATCCACTGCACCCGCTATCCCTACTATCCCTACTGTCCCTACTGCGGTGTCCACTGTTACTGCTGTTACCGCTACTGTACCCAAGATACTTAGCAGAAATGTCAACGGCACGTGTAAGTCCATTTCTTTTCTTCTATAATCTATTATTGAAAACTGATTACATTTTATATGGACCAACGATTGGTCCTTTTATTAGGTGCTGCAAAAAGGTCGTAAGGTTTTTTGTCAGAGATGAATTCGAATCGAATGTATTGTAATACTTTGGAAAAGTAATATTATACTGTTGGCGTTGTTAGAAGATTTTGTCCATTCAGCTGATTGTTCGCTATTTTCATGTGTTTTAATGACCCTGTACAGTGATGGACAGATCAAGTGTTCATCGAAGAAATCACGGGCGCAGGTGTGCATGGCGCGTGCAATAATGAGGTATCGGAGAACCATGGCGGCTTCAAATTTAGAAGTTTAGAAATTTGGTAATTTTAAAAACTTCGAAATTTTGAAGTTTGAAAATCTGAAGATGTGAGAGTTTAGAAATTTGGGGAAATAGGAATTCAGAGTTTTGGAATTTGTATGTATTATTAATTTTGTAGGTACTTGAGATTTGGAAATGTGCTAGGGAAATATGTCTTTAGGGAATTTACAAATTCGGAAATTTCTGAATTTGAAAATTTGAAAATCAGAAGATTTAGAAATCCGGGAATTCGGAAATTTTCGAACGTGGAAATCTGATAATTTAGAAATTTGGAGATTTGTAAGTTTAGGAGTTAGAGGGTTTGGGGAAGTACGAGTTAAGAGATTTGGAAATTTAAAAATTTTTGAATTTGTGCAAAAATATTTGTATCGCTGATGTAACACGATATATAAAATATCCCAATTATTAGAACGATGTTGTAAAAATAATCCAAAAGGAAGTTATTCAATTCGACATAGTAAATATTATAATAAAAATATTAAATAACTTAAAAATAGAAAGTTTGAATTCTAATTAGTTTCGTTTTCGAAATAATTTTTGACAATATTAATTCTTCAAATGATAGTAGTCAAACAAATAAAGTATTATTGTTAAAAATTAAACAGATTTCTGTCTAGTCGAATTTAGTTTTCAAAAACTGAAACTTTAAAGATTACTTGTATGTGTCTGTATAACGTGAAAATACATGTGTGCCAAGTGGATGAGCATTGTCTACTTGTGATAGGAAGAGGCATGAGTCAGGCAACGAGTAAAAAGCGTCGCGCCACGCAAAAAGGCACTTTTTCTTCCGCCATCAGTGAGCAACTATTGCGAGATCTGTTTTTGTCGGTTTCTTACGAGATGAACGGCCATCGGAGGTAACCGTATAAGCACGGAGTTGACCAGTGCAGACTAACGGTAAAAAAAGTACTGGTTCACGGTTTTGCTGCCGTTTCTGCGAAAGTTGAAATTGCGGGAGAGATCTCACGGAGACGCCAGTTGGTCCATGCTGCAAATGGCTACTACTCTTTTCCGCTTCTTTCTCCCTCCCCACCGTTCTTCCTCGATCTTTTCGTTTTCTTTCTTTATTCGATTGCGCAAATCAAAGACTCTTACCCATTAGAAGTTGCTTAACACTTTATCGTCGGGCAATTTGTGTGCAATCATTGAAGATAGTGAACAGTTACAACTTATTCTTATGAAGAATAATGCATTCGTTCTGCTTTCACCCTCTTTTTATTCGATTAAAAAATTGCGCTAAATACGGTGCAGTTTTTGCGAATAATTATAATAGAGGACGTTTGCTACTTATCAAAGTATGGAAAAGTCTAGTTAATTCACTCAAAGAATGAATTTAATAGCGTTAATTGTATCGTTCTATTTACATTGAATCATAATAGTGCAGTTAAGATGTAACTTACAAGTCAGTATTTGACATTACTAGGATAATCTTCGAATGCTAATTTAAAATAAAACAAATATATTGTAATATAATTGCAACAAATTGTATTCCGAATTAACACATATTCGATTTCAAATAAAAAATTCAGAATTGAACGAATTATTTCAAACATTATTACTTTTAGAGTATCTGGGTTTTATTCGAAATTTTTATTTAAAACTTCTTGCATATATTTTCATTCAAGAAACAAAAATTATTCTCGAATATATGTGTTTTGGATTAAATTTCTGCACGAAGATTATTTGAATAGTGTGCAACTTTGGTTCAAATGTTTTGCCATAAATTAAATTCCTCATATAATAACCCAAACTGAATAAATTATACTAACTTCTCTAATTGCAACACAATCACGATATAAGCGTCAATCAATTATTTCTGAATATATTAATGCAGCCTAAATGTAGTCTTTTGAAATGAAGAGTTGACTCATCTTCCCCAGACAATAACAATTCCAGGTCCCCCGTTCTTTCTTTTTTCCATGGATATGATGAAACGAATGGAATGTCACGTTTTCGAATATCATCCTGGCAAACGAATCAAGCGGTATGTTTGCTTAGAATTAGTATGCCAGAGGCGGCCTATTTGAAACACGAGGATAATTCGGAGCGTCATAAATTTGAGCCCGAACGCGTGTAAAAACGACCACTTGCTCGCTCTGCCGCTATGCAACTTGACAAAAAATCTGGAACTTTTTTGCGGCAAGTTCGCTGGATTCCCGCGCTTACTTAGAACTTATTGAGCCAAGAATTTTTTCCCTGACGAACGTGTCCACAGCAGTAGTAGTAGCACCAGTCTTTTGTATTCTCTCAACTCTCATATATGTACAAATTATCGTTTTATGATTCTTCTTCGTAAAAGATATGTTTGTTTTGGGAATCGAAAAATTACACAAAATTACTTTTCTGAAGAAGAAGAACAAAAAACTTATTTGGAGGAGATTGGCCATTTTGTTATTTGAACAACGTGATCACGTTCCGTTTACTTTCTACAGAGAAAAAATTACTTTTTTTTCATCATGCTTCGACTAATAGGTTTCGATTTATGTTTCGCTTATTTTGAAACATATAGCCCAGTGTATTACATCCACCATTACCGGATATAGATTCAAAAACTTATGAGATTGTTTAGACAGGAAGGTTCGACACTAATTACGCAAGGAAGAATTAAAACAAAGATTATTAGAGGAAAGTACGTTATACATAATTATTTACAAAAAGTTATAGCTACCATATCCAGTCGATGTAATTAAATAAAAAGCCTATCCAATAGAATATGGACACTTTAAAATTTTCGTATTACATTCATGTACTTTTTATGTAAAAACATCGTAGAGAATTAAATGTCCCAATATTTTATTCGTGACGTGAGAATAATACATGTTTACATATATTTGTTGACAAATTAATTAGCTTAAATAAATATAATTTTCGTTAAGAGGAATACACGCCTTATGATAATAAGAAACAAAGAATATGTTAGTTTAATTATGCATAAATATACAGATTAGTAATTGGTAGAATACTTCCGAATATGGTAGTAATACTACTATAGTATTCAAATATTAATGAGTCATTGTTTCAAAAATAGTTTCTTTCTTTGCATTGATCAAAACTTCTATTGTTCTTATTAATTACAATATTTTTTGTAGCCTTAGCTTGAATGTTCAATCTATTGAATACTTATAAAAAGTAGTTTATTTAAAACATTTGCATATTTACTTTAAATTGTACATTTTTCCAATTCAAAAATATTTTTAACTTTTCAACCTCTCTAAATTAAAAAGAAAAATATAAACAAATTTTATTTTCAAGAATATTAAAATATATTTAAGAGCAAATAAATTACAAAATAATTATTTTCCTTATAAGAAATGAAAACGATCTAGAAGAAAATAAAATGGTAAAATTTAATTTTATAATGTTTTATGGTGTTTGAAAATTGCGTTTTCCATTAGGGATATTAGTAGTGGTAATTTAACACAAACACGATAAAATATATTAAGAAGCCAGTAAATTAAATTTGTAAAAAGAAAAATTATTATCTGATGGTGTTTTTAACGATGTGCTATACGTGGCTTGTTGATATAATCTTCTGCTACCTAACCGTAACCCTTTCGATTTCAACGTGTCTTCACCAGTGATCTCAGCCCCTCGAATTCAGCTCGTCACTCAAATTAGCCGGTATTCGAGTGCATCCACCCACAGGTTGCACGATTTCTTGATCGTATTCAGATTACATTCAAACATCCCTTTAACGTCGGAGGTATGCACAGAAAACTCGTTCAGAAGGCGAGCAGAGTACACAAACGAAATGAAAGAGCTCGTTAGAACAAGCAGCTGCGTGTATACGCCGCCAATATTTGCGTTTAGTCAGACATTCAATTTTCTATGAATGAATTTTTATTTTGTTAGCTAGGGACCGATTTCTTTAAAAAATCATAACCCTATATTAAGAACACTTTTATTAAAATTTGATAGGGTAATTTCAAGCGAGGCTGAGCCTCATAATATATTCCAAATATATTTTAACATTTTGCCAGCAGTAGCATTCTGAAAGGTATTAAAAAGCTGCATTGTCTAATTTTTATTTCTGTTTTCAATTGAGGAATTAAGAAAGTTATTTGTATTATAAAATCGATTATCCATATCAGTATTTTATTTGTCGTTTAAATTTTAATTTGTATATATTTAAAATTATTATCAATAAATAATATATTGCATAATAGATAATTTTTGGATGAAATATATTAATATAATATTTACAGGTTAGATTGATATTTGTGTGATGATATATTGGGATCACTATAAAATTATGTGTAGTAACTAATAATATTTTTTTATTATACCAACTGATTATAAAAGGAAAGCAATAAATAGAAGGGTTTTTGGATAAATCGAGAGTATTGATTAAATTTGATAAGCTATTTGCCAATTCGCAAATTTGAAGATTTTGTAAATTTTGGAATTCAGAAAATTGAAAGATTGAACTTTTAAAAGTTCGTAAATTTGGGAATTTTTGATGATTTGCAAAATTTGTCAATTTATCAATTTGGTACATTGGAAGTTTTGATTTTTAAAAATTTGGAAATTTGAATTTTTTTATCATTTTGAAAATTTTATTTTATTTGGTATTTGAGAATTTGGTGATTTATAAATTTGGAAATTTGAAAACTAGAAAATTTGAAAATGTAAAAATCTGAA